TTTGGGAATTCAGGAGGGTTTTTTTGGGGGGATTTTGGGGCATTTTGGGGTTTTTTGGGAAGGGAAATTCTGCAGGAATTTGTTCCCAAATCCCACAGGACGCGATGAGGCTTTACTACGTGTGCACGGCCCCGCACTGCGGCCACCGCTGGACAGAGTGACCCCAAAACTGAGCCCAGAATCGCCCCCAAATCACCCCCAAATCACCCCAAAACTGAGCCCAGGAGTCACCCCAAGAATCACCCTGAAATCACCCCAAAATTACCCCAAAAAATGACCCAAACACCCCTAAAACGACTTCAAAAATCACCTCAAAAATGACCCCAAAAGTGACCCCAAAGTGACCCCAAATCCCCCAAATTGACCCCAAAATCCCCCCCAAACCCCTCTGGGATCCCCAAAAATTCCAGGGAAACTCAAATTCTCGATTTTCCCCCCAAAACCCAAACTCAGGAGAACGAAATTTTCCGGGAATTTTTATTCCAATCCACCAAAAACCGGGAATGGGAAGGGGGAGGGGGAGGGGATTAAATAAGACAAAAAAGGAGGGAACGGAAAAGGGGGAAAAAAACAAAAAAATCCCAAAATTTTTTGGGTGGGAATTTTTTTTTTTTTCCTCATCCTGAAAACGCCAAAAATTAAAAAAAAAATCCTGGAAAAAAAAAAATTCCGGGATTTGGGATGGAGGCGGTGCCATTTATACAAATATAGTGTTTTAAAAACAAGGGAATTTCAGGAATTTTGGGGGGAATTTGGGGATTTTTGGGAATGGGGGGAGGGGGTTTTAAACCCTGAGCCGCTCCAGGAAATAATTTAGGGAATTTTTTGGGAATTTTTTGGGAATTTTTGGGGGGGGATGAAAGTGCCTGGAAGCTCCTTAATTATTATTGGTTGTTCCTCATGAATTATTCATTATTATTAATGAGCTTGGAGCTCCGCCCCCCCGGGAGGGGGAGGGGCTCTTATTGCCTTGGGAGGGGCCCGGAAGCCTCCGGAATCCCAGGGAAAGTTCTGGAATTCCCTGGAAAGTCCAGGAATTCCCTGGAAAGTTCTGGAATCCCACCAAAGTTCCGGATCCCCTCTGGAAGCACCTGGAAAAGTTTTGGGATGGCTCCGGAAAGTTCTGGAATTCCCTGGGAGGTTCTGGATCCCCTTCGGAAGCACCGGCGGAACATTCCGGGAAAAATCCGGGAATTCCTGGGAAGGTTCCGGATCCCTCTGGAATGTTCTGGAATCCCTTGGAAAAGTCCTGGATCCCTCTGGAATGTTCCGGATCCCTCTGGAATGTTCCGGATCCGCTGGGAGCCTCTGGAGTCTCTTTGGAATGTTCTGGATCCCTCCGGAAGCTTCTGGAATTCCCCGGAACGCCCCCGGATCCCTCGGGAAGGTTCCAGATCCCCCTGGATTTCCTTGGTCCCCTTTGGGAAAGTTCTGGAACGTTCCGGGTCCCGTCGGGCAGGTCCCGGATCCTTCCGGAATCTTCTCTGGGAATTCTGGGCTGGGATCCCGCGGAGCCTCCCCGGCCCCAAACGGATCCAAACGAACGGATCCAAACCCGATCCCGGATCCCAAACGGATCCTGGTGGATCCCAGACCGATCCCAGACCCCTCCAGATCCTCCCAGGGCTCTGCTGAGGCGCCGGAGCCGCCGATCCCGATGGGAATGTCCCAGATCCGGGGGGATCTCCCCGTCCCAGCGGATCCCGGTGGATCCCGGCGGATCCCGCTCACGGCTCCGGGTGCTCCGGGGCCCCCGAGAAGATCCTGGCGAAGCGCCGGAGCTGCCGCGCGGCCGAGCTCGACTCCTGCTGCAGCCGCCGGTTGTTCTGCCGCAGGTTGGCGACCTCGGCCTGCAGGAAAACCTTGTCCTGCTTCTCCTGGGGGGAAAATCCGGGAATTCCGGGAATGTCCG